ATGGAATTGAATTTGTTGTTTAATTTAAATAAGATTCCTCAATGAATCGACCATTGAGAATGTGACATACATAAAAGAGAGAGAAAGAGATAGAAATTGAGCAAATTTGTTGGTTTGATTCGAGAGTCCGCTTTGGCTTGAATCTTTATAATTAAGCAAGGCCCTTTTTTTTTTGGGGGGGGGGGGGGGGGGAAGGTGAAAATAAATGATACAAAAATGGACGGTGATGGATGCACAGATGCGGCGGTGAGGGAGAAGGATATGATTATGAAGTAGAAGAAGATTAAAAAAAAAGAAAGATGGTAAGGAAAATATATAAATTAAAAAATTTTCTTTAACGCATTTAACATGTTTATGCATATTAGATATATACGCATATAACATAATTTAATTAAATATGTTTTCCGTATTTTATATTTATTAAATATGTCAAACATATGTAATATATGAATAATATCATATCAAATTTCGTATTTACGTAACTAAATATGAAATAAATTTTTTGAAATCTTTATATAAATTATTTTATATCGTTTTCTTATCATATCAACTTATCATATTTAAAATTATTTTATCTCAAATTTTATAGATCTACATCTATAATATTTTATGAACTTTAGAATAAACTAATTAAATTTACTATTTTTTTTTGTTAATTATTAAGTAAGAAACATATTATTTATATTTTATTCGTATGCATCAATAATAGTATTTTGTTATTTATATTTAATATAAGGTAACCAATAAGCAATGGGAAATCCTCAAACCACATATCCTATTTTCTTATTGACCACTTGGACTTAAATATCCATCAAAGTCATACCCCATTTTTTGGACCTTTGGAAATATGCACACTTTTGGATAGGAGTTAAATGTAAAAACAAAAAACCTATTTTGGATTTGCTCACCTTTTGTTGGTGAAGGTGATTGTAACAAAAGAGAGCATCATAAAATCTATGAGATGCATAAGAAAAAAAATGTAAGGTACCCCACTGCTTGTGGACTGTGGCTGATATAACCTTTTTTTAGGCAAATTTCATTACAAAAAAAAAAGTAAATTACTTTATCAAAAATGTCAAATTATACTTTCATAACTGTTTGATGTTTAACTCTTTTATGGACAATGATAAGCTCAATTTAAATTTATCAATTAAATGATTTTTTTTTCTTGTTGATAAATGAATAAGGAGAAATTTATTAGTTAACTTAATTTTTCATTGGCAAAATAAGTGAAAATTTTAATTAACGGATCGAATAAATGTTGAATATATATACATCTTCAAATGTTTCAAACATATATATTCCAAATTTGATAATGAAACAATCACGAAAATGATTTTAACACAATGTTTGAATAAATATTAATGAAAGAAAGGAAAGAAAATGAAATTAAATGAAAGGAAAAAAATGATATATGTATAGTTTATTTGAATAATTAAAATTAATAAAAAAATTATAACAACCATTATTTGAATAAATAATAAAAAATAAAGAAAATGATTCATTATAATAAAATTTTCAATTATAATATTTTATTTCTTATAATTTTGTAGCACTCATAAATCATGATATGCTTACTATTTTATCTGATCTCATAATTACTGTTATATAAGTGGTTTTTGATTAAGTGAAACATAAAGATATTTTATAAACATGCATTGATAAATTTTCTTGTCATTGTCAAAATTTTAGCATAATATCACTTTGGCAATATATTTATATAAAAGTTATTAAATATAAAAAATATAATCACATAAAAATATTATATACTAACGAATTATATGTCTTTTTTGCATCAAATAAAAAGTAATAATATATTACCATATAATTGTTTAACATAAATTTATTTTACCAAAAAGAGATGGCTTTGAAAATTTTATGAAAAGATTATGATGTTGTTAAGTTTTCTTTACTAGGTTTGTAGTGTTAATAAAAATATAGATATAATACTTTTTTATAAAAATAAAATGTTTTTAACTATTCTTTTCTTAGCTTTTCTCTTAAATTGAGATATTAAAAAAAATTAAAAGTTATTGAATTTTTACCTTTTTTTCTTTTGTTTAAATTAAAATTTTATTTAAATAAAGAAAATATTTTTTTTGTTTGTATTACTTTTTTTTTTCGTTTATTTCCTCTCCCCTCAATCCAAACATAATATAAGATAATAGATTAAAAAATTTTCCAATTTCATTACAAAGGGTTAAGTCTGGTTTTGGTTTTGTTGTAGTCAATTTCAAAAGGAAAGTACATTTAAAGAAAATTATAGTTTATACAATTAAATTTTATAATTTGTGTCAATATCATATAAAATATTAAAATTTATATATTTATATTATATTTTATATAAAAATTATGTTATAATTTATATCAACATAAAAATATAAAAGATATATTTTAATTTTATTAAATTTATATATAATTATTATTAAAATTTTAAATTAAAATTTTTTATATAATATTCATATCACTTTCTTATATCATATTTTAAATTCTCATATCCATGTAAAACACATAATTATAATCAAACGGTGTTGGGCATTGAAGTGATTTCCCACTATTTACACAGGCGTTTTCGTCAATTCGGAGAACTTAGCTGTACTCACTCCGACCAAAAGCAAACTAGACAAGTCTAATCCTGTAGTTCAATTTACCGTAATGCGCTTTAAGCGACAGCTGTCGAGTAGAGAAAAGAGAGTTGGCAAAACAAGAAGCGTAGACGCGAAGCAAAGGAGGATTGCAGAATGGTTGCAGACTTATAGTAAGTACGCTGATTCAGTACAGAGGTATTTTATTGGGGCAGTTACTTGAAATAATAAAAAAGGAATATTTTGTCAGTTCCTATCTAAAATAATTTTCAAAAAAATTTTCCCACACTGTCCTCGATTATTTTAATAAAATATTAAAAAATTTATTATAATTAAAATTATTTATAATATCGACCGATAGTTTGATTTGCATTACAATATATTTTTTTCATTTGGATTTTACTTTTTTTTTTAAATTCTCCTTATCAGTTATCCGATTAATATGATTTTTGATACGAATAAGTTTTTTACAGCAAAATTAAGATTTCATACGACTTCCAACTGGCAACAACAAATCTATTACTAAAGTTGCACGTGTACAGAGTACACACAACACGACTTGTCGTCTAGTTAGATTTCACAAATAAAAAAAGAATTCAACATTTTCACAGAGCATTTTAGTTTGACCAACAAGATATTAACTATTAATAATCCAAGCCGGCTAAAAGGCAAGCTGAGCTGGAGACTAAAGTAGAACGTTGACCAAGTCAGAAGCCGTGCTGCCAAATTTTCGTTTTGGCTGATGAGAAACTAATCATTTATGTTTGTAAGTATTCATTTAAATAAAATTTAAATTCAATTTAATTATTATTAAATTAAATTTAAATAATTTAATTTATCAAATTATTTAAATTTAAATATTTTATGTTTAAATAAATATTAATAAAAAATATAAAATAAAGAAAATAAAATTTTAAAAAAATAAAAAAATATTTAATATTTAATTTGAATAATTTACAAATTTAATTAAAATTTTAAATTTTAATATATTTTATTATTTTAATTAAAAATTATTATTTTATTGTTATATATTAATTCAAATTTAAATTTAAACAAAATTTACTTTAAAATTAATTATAGGAATTAAATTTAATTTTTATTAAACAAATTTAATTAGTTTAATATTTATCTTGAATTAATATTAAATTTAAAAATTAAAATTCGCTTGAATTTAAATAAAATTTTAAATCGAATTTGAATTTAAATTTTTTTACTATATTAACTCTACTTGATTCATCTACATTTCTGGTTTAGACCAGCCTCAGCGCAACCACTCAAAAAGGAGAAAAAAAGGCTCAACAAAGCGAAATATCTGTAGGAAAAATTTAAAACGGTAGCCTTCAAAGAGAGAAATTGATCGGAAGCCGGAAACGACGGTGGCTTTGTTGTTATTTTAACTGAGCATAGAATTCCTATTGAGAGCTTAAAGCCTGGGCTGGTCATACGGTCGCGTGATACCCTGCTGTAACCGCCAGCTATTCCCGTTCTGGCACCACCCTCACTAACACAGAAAACGCCTAAACCCGCTGCACCTTCCTCGCGCCACATGTTTTTCTTGTCCCCTCGACGGGACACGTGGCAATATCACGTTTGTTTGTGGAATCACGTCTGGCACGCTTTTGCGAGTGGTTCACTCACATTACGGAAAGATTACAGAAAGTCTAAAACACCCTCCCTTTGCTTGCTAAAAGGGCAACCAAACGGTAGGCTCTTGTCTTTTCCGTAGTAACCTAACTAAATAGAACGTAGGTGAGGCTGTTACTATACAACTCAGCTGTTTGAAGCAACAAGTACATACCATCTAGGATTCCGAATCCATGGATTTCGTTGCTTTTTGACCGTTAAACAACAGTGATAAAGTTCAGTGACGGCCGGATTTGACCATTATGCACGTTTAGATATTGTGCTTAAGTACAGGTGATAATTTCTTCATTCCAGACTGTCGTTTCTCTGACCGAAACAAGAACCAGAGGTCTTCGATGACACCGTTCATTTGAATTGACAAAACGGCCCACTTTGAAAGGGTAAAAGGGTAAAAAAATTTCGAACAAATATTCAATAAATTTTTAATATTTTATTACAATAAATAAATTTTAATTTTTTTATTTTAAATTAATTAAATTTTTAAAAATTTATTTTTATTTAATTAAATTTCGGTTGAACAAAAATAAATATTGACAGTTAATATAATTTTGATTTAATAAAAATTCAATTAACTAAAATAAATAATTAAAAATTTTATTTTATTATAATAAAATAATTTTTATTCAAAATTTAATTTTTACTCTTTAATCTTAAAAAATACTCATCAAACTTAAGTTTTTAATTTTCATCAATTTACGTTTTGTCCAATGGCAATGAGGTGAAAAGGGTTGAAAACGGAAGGTTCCTTATAAACGAGCGAAACGCGAGAGAAGGAATAAAAACGCTTGTTGGCCGGTAGGCGTTTGGTTGAACCACCTAACAGCAACTACTTTCCCTCTGGACTCCTCCTCTTTACTCCTTTCCTATTTTTCTATATTTTTAATTTAACGTATTTTTTTTTTAACTATTAATTTAACGTTTCTTTTTTTTTTTTTGGTTAAATTATATTAAAGCTCGTCTAAAGCATTAATATTTGGGCATGAACGTATAAATTATAATCTGGTTGTACTTTTCCGCTTTTTTAAGGTTTGCCTTTTTTTTTTTTTTTTTCGCTTTCTCTCTCTTCAGTTCTCATTTACTGTTTCTGTCTTGCCTTTCGTCGGAAAGCCTCCTCCATCCGCCGGGAAACAGCTCTTTTCTCCGGCGAAGGAATCTTTGATTCGCCGCAAACCACTTATCTTTCTAGTATTGATAATTTCCTGCAATATTTTAAGTATTTCTTTTCGTGACTCGGATTTCGATCTCCAAGCTTGACTCGGTCTGGTGGAGAACGTGGCGCGTTTTGAGAATGTGGCGACGTCGGTTGACGTTTGATGCTTTGTTTTAATAGCAAATGGTGAAGTCGTGATCTAGGGTTTGGTATTAGCGGATTTTGCTTTTTTTAAAAGTTTTCTCTGGATTGTTTTGTTCGGTGAATTGCGACAAAACGGTGGCGTGCAAAGAACCATTGCGGAATGAGATGGTACGTAAATTCTTCTGTTGAGTTCTTTCTATTTTTCTTTTTCTTTTAACCTTTTTTTTTTTTAGATTTTTAATGGAATTTTAAAGGTTTTATTTACTCTGTTTGTCGTTGTACGGATATCAAGCATTATCTTAATCCTAGATTTGTTCTACAACTTTTGATAACAAATTAGAAATTAATTTTTCATATCTAGGAAAAATTTTGTTCATGCAATGAACGTAGTGCTTCATGCATTTTGGATATGTCTATCGAGGGCTTTCGTGTTGAGATTATGGATGCTTCGGTTATCTGTTAATAAAATAATTTACATGCCTGTTTTGTTGAATTTCATTCTTGAGGTAGAGTTTATTTTGACTACGCTTTTAAATTTGTGGACAAGATTGAAAATTATTTAATGAATTTTTTATCATTACTATTTTTGTTTAAAAAGTTGATCTGGTAATACCGTGTATTATTGTTGAAATTGTCTGGTTTTTTACTTAAGATTCAACATTGGTCTATGTAATTACTCATATTTTGACTTTATATTTACGGCATATTTTATGTAGGATGAATTCAACTGGTTGTAAACCTTTGACTCACGGTTTTAATGGAAAGTTTTTGGGGCGTAAATTTAATCTATTTGGGTCATTGATTTGGTTTAGATTCAGTCAACGATGTGTCTTCTGTATGCTTTAGAAATTATCCAGGTTCAGATTGGTGTGCTTGGTTTCACATTCTTAGTTTTGGCTACAAATGGCTATGCATGTTTCCAAATTTATCCTATTCACTGTCTCATTTCCGAATGAACTCGGTCCTCTTTTAGATTAATTACTGGATGGAGAGTCTGGTCAAGTGATTTTGATTGAAACACGGCTGTAGATGTTTTCTCACTAACTTTTGTTGTGCCATAGTTTGTTCTTATATGCATGGACTGGATTGGGCCTTGGCATCTTAATTTTTGTTACCTGATTTATTACTCCGGTGCAAACAAAATACCAGAAGTATTGACAAAATTTGTTATGTTAAGTTCTCTGTTGAAATCTATGCTTTCCACGAGTCAAGCTGATAGCAGTTACTCTGCTGCATAGTTTGAAGTAATATAGCTATAACTTATTGAAAACTTCGAAAACTAATGGTGTTGGCTGTGTGCATTTAGTGTGTTATGAATGCTGTAGCTGCATGGATGTGGACGCAGGTCATTTGGATAGCAATTAGGTGCTGATTCAATTGAAAACTAGAAGTATTAACTTTGTATATGGCGAATATGAGGCTGCTTTTGTGTTGTTATTATGTGTTTTCTCAAGTCTGCTTCTATAGTTGTTTCCATATACTGATATATGATTTTTTTCATTTGCTTCTTTGCTTCTTTTGGTAGGTGGAAGGAAGGGTGAGTTTGTCCAAGGAAGTCAAATATGGGTTAGAGTTATTGAAGCATAAAAGGCTTCATCGAATAAAATCAGAAACTGTCTCTGGGACATCTGGTGTCACAAATATGATGGCTAGAAGTGGAGGAGATGCTTTGAGAGTTTCAGCATCATGTGGAATGAGGTTACAAGGGAATGCAGAATCGTTTTCTATGTCAAATGGTGCTTCAAGGGAGAAGGACATGTTTTCCAAGCACAGGGTTGATAAGTTTAATACTAGTGATCTGGAATGGACTGAGAGAATTCCAGAATGTCCTGTATACTGCCCTACAAAGGAAGAGTTTGAAGATCCTTTGGTTTATTTACAGAAGATAGCTCCCGAAGCTTCAAGATATGGTAACACCTTCTGTGCTTTTACCCTTTGTCTTTAACAATTTGAGTAATTTCCATAAACCCCAAAAGCAACCATTCTCTCTCCAACTCTGTTTAAAGGCATAGAAAATGTAACCTAAAAGAAAAGTGGAAATAGAGAAATATGATGGATTCTATTTATGTTTTATGTTTTTCATATACATTTTTGTGAGGCTTTGATGTCTATAACTTTTTGTTTGGTAGGCGTTGTGGTTAAATATTGTTTTTCTAGGGACTGAATGAATTTTTGAGGGGAAGACCAAAGATCTGTAGTAGAAATAAAAAAGCACTGAGTGCTGTTTCATCTCTGTGGTACTACGTGTCTTCACTGCTACAAATATACTGAGAAAGGCTTTTTTTTTAGTGGCAATAAGACATTTTGTTTTCATGTCTTGCACAAATTAGAAAGATAGGAATAGGTGGATCTATTTGACTTAATTTTCAGGGCCTTATGTTTGAACGGTATTTCTGGAAGAAATTTAGTTTACTCATTTGGCATACTGGTAAAGAGAAATTGGATTTCTCAAACAGCTGCACTGCTCCTAGATTTACTTTTATTCTATCTGATGATATTATAAAAAAACCAACTGAAGAAGGGAGGAATAGACATGTTTGGATTTTGAAGGAAATTGTTTAAAAAGTGCCTCTTTAGTGTTTTTTTTTTTTTTTTTGATAAATAAATGCTGAAGCATTTTGAATATTTGCTCCTTAATTCTCAGGTATATGCAAGATCATTTCCCCTTTAAGTGCTACTGTTCCTGCTGGAGTTGTATTGATGAAGGAGGAAGTAGGATTCAAGTTCACAACAAGAGTACAACCTCTTCGTCTTGCGGAGTGGGATACTGATGACAGAGTCACCTTTTTCATGAGTGGAAGGTGAACTCTCTCACTTGAAACAAATGTTATTTTGTGCCTCGAGTGTTTTTCTGGTTCTGAATGTGAGCATGACATTTCAGAAATTATACATTTTGTGATTTCGAGAAAATGGCGAACAAGGTGTTTTCTCGTAGATATTATAGTGCTGGTTGTCTTCCTGCAACGTACATGGAAAAAGAATTTTGGCATGAAATTGCTTTTGGGAAGACAGAAAGTGTTGAATATGCTTGTGATGTTGAGGGTAGTGCCTTTTCTTCGTCTCCCAGTGACCCGCTTGGAACTAGCAAATGGAATTTGAAGGTGCTAAATTCAGTGCTATCATCTCTTTAGTTTTATATTTTTTAAAATGCTTTCTTGTAGAGGTCTGTTTGGTTAATTTTACCATCATAGTTAAATTTTAGAAAAGAAAAGTAAAATTGCTGTTGTGCTGCATAGCTTATTGATCTCATTCTTGATTCTATTTATTGTATATTCATGTACTTTTTTATAAATTTATGGCAGAGACACTGATCTTCTGTTCTCTATTTTGATCATTTCTCTACTCTTTGCTGCTTAAAGTGTAACAAGTGTAGATGTTCATATGTGTTGGCATGAATTCAAAGCCCCTCTTGTGGTTGGCACTACAAGTTATACTCATGCCTCAGGATAAGTCGTTGTACAAAAAAGAGCCATCATCTGTTTTGGTCATTTTGTTGACTGTCCAGAATAAACTAAACTTCAGATTTGGTCTTAAAACTTTAGCCTAGGAGACACGCTATCCAATTAGAATGATCATAGGCCTTGATACTTGGTCTTAAAGAGATAGATTATGACGGCCTTAACAGTTACTATGGTAGTGGGATAAATCATGTCCTCTCATCTATAACTAATAGGAGTTTTATAGGATCTGGTGCCATAGGGCAACAATGATCCCAACAGCATCTGCATGCCTGGATTTGGTAATCTCTTACATGGTTCCTGCTGCAAATTTGTTCCAAGAGGGTCCAACAGGCTTGATACCTCTTTATTCAATCACAAAGTTATCAAGGTTTGTTATACCTGGGAAAATAACTGTTTAAATTATTATTTATCAATATTATTTGGATAAACTAAGGATATAGAATTGTCCCAGAATTCAGGAGAGCCATTTCTCTTGAAATTTAATAACTTTAAGGTTGATTTGGATAGAGAGAGAGAGTGGAATCGAGGAAGGAATGTTTGTTACTAATCCTATTATGGTTGGCCCTAACCCTGTTCTGGATTGTGGTTCAATTGGTTCTTATATACTTCTTTTCGTTTGATTTCAGAAACTCTCACAGCTGCCAAAGTCCATTTTGCGTCTTCTTGAAACAGCAATTCCGGTAATGAAATGATCAAAATTTTTTTATCTTGTGAGTTTTGGCACATATACATGCAGAAAATTAATACGCTCACATTTATGTTTCTCTTATATTGAACTGATGGTTGTTTTAGGGAGTAAGCGACCCCATGCTTTACATAGGAATGCTATTTAGTATGTTTGCTTGGCATGTGGAGGATCATTATTTGTATAGGTAAATGTTATTAAAAATCAAAGTCTATTTATTTATTTACTTTCTTTATTTTCTGTAATTAATCGTTTTCTTCATCTTTTGTGGCAGCATTAATTATCATCATTGTGGAGCTTCGAAAACTTGGTATGGCATACCCGGTCATGCTGCTTTAAAATTTGAGAAGGTTGTCAAGGAACATGTGTACACTAATGATATCCTAGCAATGGATGGTGAAGATGGAGCTTTTGATGTGCTTTTGGGTAAAACGACATTATTTCCTCCTAATATTTTGTTAGACCATGATGTCCCAGTCTACAAGGTTGTGCAGAATCCTGGAGAGTTTGTAATTACCTTTCCAAGAGCATATCATGCTGGATTTAGTCATGGTAAGGCATATTTGTACGGAAGTTGTTCTTACTCCCCTCTTGGAGGATCTGATGAATAAGTTTCTAATTGTGATAATTTAGGTTTCAACTGTGGTGAGGCTGTGAACTTTGCTATTGGTGATTGGTTTCCTTGGGGGGCTGTGGCAAGCTTGCGTTATGCACATCTCAATAGGGTGCCTCTCCTTCCTCACGAGGAACTTCTGTGCAAGGAAGCTATGCTTCTCTATACAAGTTTAGAACTGGACGATCTGGATTATTCTCTGGCAGACTTGGCTTCGCAGCATTGCATTAAGCTTTCATTTGTAAAGCTGATGCGTTTCCTGCACCGGGCACGTTGGTCTGTCATGAAAACAAGGGCATGCACCAGTGTATCTCCAAATCCTTATAGAACTATTGTCTGCACTTTATGCAAACGTGACTGTTATGTTGCTTTTGTTAACTGCAGCTGTTATTTGCATCCTGTTTGTCTGCGACATGGTAATCTTTCTCAGATCATGCTTTATTTTAGTAATCTCCCTTTGATATGTAATTTTGTCTTATTATGAACCTGATTGCCTTGTGCAGATATTAAGTTACTTGACTTCCCATGTGGGAGCTGTCATGGTCTTTTCTTAAGGGATGATGTTGCAGAGATGGAAACTGTTGCCAAGAAGTTTGAGCAAGAGGATGCCATATCAGAAGAGATTGAGCGACAAGCTGAAAATGGCGATGGCTTGTATTCATATCCATTGTCAAATAAGTTCCAGACTAATGTAGAGGATGGATACTTTCCTTTCTGTGAGATTAATGTTCTTTTGAATTCTGAGGTTGTTGCAAAAACTACAATTATGGGTCAACCACTAGAACACAGACAGCCTACAATGAGCCATGACACTGGAAATTTTCGGCCCGAACTGACAGATGCTTGCTCTTCTTTTGCTGCGTCAACTCTCTGTTCTTTTGTGGATCTAGTTGGCTTGTCACCTAAAAATGTAAGATCCAGCTCTATGCTCGCTGAGATTTCATGTGTTAGGGTGCCAGATGAATTATTATAATGTTTATGTCTCTACTTAAGCTACTGCTCCTGTACTAAGTGAACATTTGGTATTTGTACATTTCAATGCAGGTACTGGGAGTAGCTAACCTCAGAAACATTAATGGTAAAGGGTTCTCTGAAGAAGTCTCACGAAATACATCTGAATCATCTTTATCCTGTTTGTCACATGAAGATCGTCCAGGTATCCATCAGGATCACGTTCATGAGCCAGTGAGTAGGTCTATTGTGGGCCAAGACAGTGATAGTTCGGATTCAGAGATATTTAGGGTTAAAAGGCGTTCTTTTTTGAAGGTTGAGAAAAGATATGGCAGTGACACCATGTCATCAAAGAACTCTGAACACCAGGTGTAAATCTGCCCTTTTTTGTTGAAAAAAAGATTCTTTTTTTGCCATTTTCTTCTCTGTTGGATAATTGTTGTTCATGGCTTGGCACCTGTTCTAGATTTACTTTAAAATGCTTATCAGTCACGTTGATAATGTTTCCACTATTATAGTGATTGTCTTCAATTTCACTGTTGTATTATCATTATGTATTTTGCTATCATTCATACCTCGCTTCTTCACTTTCAGTCTTTCCATTTTGTTTGTGGGACTTGAGTTGTTTTTCCGGTACTTCGTCTTTTTCCTCATACTTTTATTCATATGAACAGGGGCTCAAACGATTAAAAAAACTCCAACATGAAGGAAGATCTGGGCAATCAATGCCATCTGAATGCCGCAGAAATGATGAACCAAATCGCAATAGTAATTGCACTTCCTATTATAAAGAAGCTCCTGAAAATGTCGTGAAGGACGGATTTGGAAGAGGCACCCTTCCCATTTCTATCAAGTATAAGAAGTTGGGCAATGAGCATTTAATGAGTGGGCAGCGAGAGCACCACAGAAATGATAGGTTCCAGCATGAGTTAGGAAAGAGCAAGAGGGAACCTTCTCCTATAGAGATTGGGCCAAAACGCTTTAAAGTTAGAGGCCTAACATATGTAGGTTCAGAAAGCAGATTGGATTGAAGTTACAGATGTGCGGAGAGTGATGAGAAATCTGGTTGGCTTGCCTCTGGAGACTGACTTTGCTGACTTCATTTCCTCTCTAATGGAGTTCTCTAACAACACTAAAATTCCATATGATTGATTCAGGGAGTAGCAGCGAGGATTAACCAAGCTTAGGAAAATTTTTATTCTTTGTGCAGGCCTCAAAACTGGGGCAAATTGCACGTGCAGTGATTCTTGCGGTTCTCAGGCCGAGGTGTTTTTCCAGTCTTTGGCAGGAGAACCTTCCTGCAAAAACTGAAGTAGAATTTGGGTTAGTAACTTTGGTAAAGTTGTTTGTCAGTCAAAAATTAATTCTTGCTGAGGAAAGTGGGCATTCCCACAGGCTCCTCGAACTTTAGAAGTCTGCTGCTTCACCTGCTAGGTTCGTTATTCTTTTTGTAGCAATTGTATCCTGCTTAAATAAAATGCAGAGAAATGCATTTTTTTTTTCTCTCAAATCTTTTCTTCTCATTTAATGTATTCCATTCTAACTAGTATTATTAGTTATTTTAGTAGTAATTAAATTCTTGGTTGCAAGGAAAAGTCCTTTCCCTGGAAACTGTCATCGGACAAGTCGTAGATGTTGCTCTTCGGAATGATCTTCGTCTTGGATTATAGGATTGTGGGGGCAAGACTTAATTGGAAACCGACTTGCCCCATGTGGCAGATGCTGCAACTTGCAATGTCAGACGGGCCTGCAATGTTTACTATTTAGCTGGGGGAATAAGCCAGCAACGGCCTTTTTTTGCTGTAGCTGTTTGGAAACTAGTGGGAAGCAAAAGAGCTAAGGAGGACCTTGATAGTTTTCCTGGGGTCGTGAAATGGGCCTCTTCTGTTCCATCTGTATCATAGCAATTGCGGCAATGCTAGGGTTCTTTCTCCCTCAATGGACCACTGTCCTGTTTCTATAAGTTTTCCATCTATAGCAAGTCGCGATAACGCCATGGTTGCCACATTCTTTTTAATTCTATCCAGAAGCGCACAGGACACTGTTTGTTCCATTCCTTGGTGACGTTGAGATTTCTAATCTTGTTTTGCTTTCGAATGTTTCCAAATCTCATTTTTTTTAATAGTGAATTTTCCCTTTTTATACATGTTATGAAAGATTTTTGTCGTGTCAATCTGAGTGGCAATGTCCATGGTTTTTGAAATTTAGTTAGCCTCTTGTTTGGATTTATGTATAGGTAATTTCGGATAGGGTTTAGTTTGGAGAGATTGAGTTGCAGTTGAGTTAAATCCTACTTTTGCTACTGCCTAAAAGCCTTTTTTCCACAAGAAGATGAAAAGCATGGTATTCTACCCAAAGAGAGGGTGAAAAAAAAAAAAAAAAAACAAAGAATTGAGAGAAAGGGTTTTTTCATAAGTGAATTTCATTTTAGTTTATCTGGTGGAATCTGTAGGGCAAGTTTTTCTTCATTTCCAAAATCCTCTTTAAATTATTGTCTTTATTCAACCTGAGACTGTGAGATCTCTGGACTAAAAGGTTCTCCGCCAACCATGGAACACAACAAGAAATTACATTCACATTTTCTTTCTTGCACGTTCTTTGCGTCATGATGACAGCAACCTTCACAATAATGGGCCCTGCCGATAGCAGCTAGTCTTAAATTTATGTCCAAACTAGGGCCATGAAAACCCATGTCAACCCAGAAGATAAGAGTTAAGCCATGGAATTTAGAGCCCAATTCCCTTCTCTCACTCTCACAACGTCCAAAACATCAATCAGAAAACAAATTATTAAAAGTAGAAAAGGCACCAATGAAAAATGGGAATACAAAAAAAAAAAAAAATCAGAAACTCCACTTCATTTTTCACCTAGTGGAAGATGTAACAATTTAATTGCCAACATTATTAATTCCATATATCCCAACAAACTTGGATGCTATGCTATGCCTCAACACAGAAGCATGATTGCTTTTTTCCCTCTTGGTCTAGTGGTTAAGAGGTTTTAAGAAAAACATGGGACGTGAGTTCTAACCTCACCATCCCTCTTTCTTTTTGTATGGGCATTTACCTTCCTATGAAAAAATAAAAAAAAACACAAAATCACAGGCATATTGATGGTTTTACTCAAATTGACAACACATCAATTCGAAATTATTTCCACAACCGTTTCCCCCTAAAACTATTTTCCACTCCTATGTATAACTTTTTTTAAGTTTGTGTATTTGACCACGCAAAGTTATTGTGGTGAGAAGAGTAATTGTGGGATAGGGGATCCATTGCCTATAGGGCAATTTGGCCTCCCTCCAAGTTTATTAATTAGGGTGGTTTACCAATTCTTGTACCATTATTTATGACCACATATTTCTAGAGGAATATACATCAATTAGGTTACATTAGAAAATTCAATCCTTTAAGTGAGACTTTCTTTGCTTATTTTGTATACTCCCAAATTTATCTTACTTGGTTTATACTATATACTTTATAGTTTTGTGATTTTTTTCTTCTATTTTTTGGTAGAAAAAATAAATCAAATTTATGAATTTCAATGTCTTTTAATAATTGGTACTAAAAAACAAAGAAGAAGAAATAAAATTAATTAATACTATATAGCTAATAGTAATAGGGTATGAGTGGGGCAAAGAGCTCCTATTAGGTGAGAGCCTACAACTCTTTTTTACCTTGACCTCCCAAAAAGCAGCACCATATTCCATTGTGATTGGATTGAGTGTGTCTTAAGGATTGTGGGACCAACTCCCCCTCCCGTATTATTAATCATTTCTACCTTTATTTCAGGAGAATAAAATTGTAGAATGCAAAGAAAGTGAAACCAAGGAAAAATTTTACATGGAATGAGAAGAAAAAGGAACAAAAGCAAAAAAAAAATAAAAATTATGGTAATGGGTTCTTGTCTAAATCTACAAATTTCTTTCAATCACTAGTCTCTCTAGATTTGTAGGGCACTTATCTAGGCTTCCCTTTTGCTCCAAGTCGTTGGAAAAGATTCAAAATGTTTCCACTTTTCGTTTAATTTTATTTAATTTTTTGGAATTAGGATCCCATATTCTTGTTGCTAGCTTCTAACTCAATTAGAAAAAGGAGTGCCTTACTACTTTAAGTCTTGTTTTGTGGGTTTGATTAAGGGAAAATCTTCTTTTGAAAGTGTGGTCAAGTTCCTTAAGAATATTGTGTTTCTTACTAGGATCATTTCCCCTTTGAGCTCCTTTAAAAGTCTTTTCTATTATTAGGGGAATATTAATTATTCAAGTCTTCCACTAATTATACTTTTAATATACATTATTATCCCAAAAACACTTCCTCTAAAAAGTTGCCACCTACTCATGTCTGCCTAGCTATGTGTAGAACTTGTATAATCTTATGATAACGTACATTAATATTTGAGATAGATCATCAAGCCTCATAATAAAATTCTTGGATGATAATTACTTGTTTTTGATTCACTTGTTACATTTACCTGCTGCTAATAATTAATTCATCCCTAATTTCTTATTCAATTACTATGTGAATCCAAGATTTTCTTTTTAATTAGATGATAAAGTTGTTCATAAGTTTTGGGTATTAATTATATCGTGTAATCAATTGATAAAAATCAATTAAAAAGACTATTGTTGGATAGAAATAGAATCGAAAAATGACCATTTAGGCTATAAGATAGAGGTTTATTTGGACCAAAATCTTGATCTGGAACAAGTGCTTTTTCCTCATATCTAAACCAAAACAAATAAATTAATGAAGAGGGGGAGAAGAATCTATATCAAGGCTATCTGAGGAACACAATCAATATTTAGAGTTTGATTATTAAAGGTGATTAATATTTTGGTCTTAAAAGGAAAAAAGTTCTACTCATGTTCCTCAGTTGGGGTATGAAACTGTTTTTTATGTATTCGAAAAAGGAAGAACATATGCCAGTGGAAAGCTCCACTGCCTTCAGTAAATTTTGGAACAAAATCTTTAAATATTAATTCATTTAGGTTTTGCAGCTAATCAACTAAGAAATCCTGATCTACTTTGATAAGAATTTTTTGTCAGATGAATATTTTGACCATAAAATCATTGCTTGTGTGTTGTATGAGATGATTCCTTCAAAAAAATTAATTAGGGTCAGAGAATACCTGATATTTAGGTTCCTTAAGATATAGACCACTGGCAATAGAAAGGGAATTAGTACATCACATAGCCATTAAACTGGCCTTTTCATGATGTTGTCAAGAAACATAAAGAATTTCAAAAGCTTGGATAATGATTTGGGATTTTTTGAGTTGGTATGAGTGTCGATATCTAACGTTACCTTTCTTCTCTTTGAATTTCCATGTGCCTGATTGTTTAGGGTAAAAAAAGGTAGAAACAAAAAAAGAAGAAAAAACAAGTGAGATACACAATCCTACAACTGAGAGCTTTTGTTACTTTGTTTGGTAATTTGTATTTTCTTTAATTAATTTTACCCTCAGACCAAAGTGTCCTGTATGCCATAACTCTGTTCTTCGGTACATAATATGTTCAAACCAAATTAAGATCATTATTGATGTAATTAACATTAAAATCATAGCAGGATTTAGCAAGCATGATGTAAACTATAATAAGTATATATATAATTTGATTTTAGTTTCACGAGATCAACTTCATAGAAACATAAAGATGTGAAGTGAGGTTGAAAACCCAGGTCTCAGTTTTCCAAAACCCATGGCCATTGGCCAGTACTAGTGGTGATTTAGAATAAGATTTTATTGATTAAGGCAAGCTTGATATTTTATTATCTTTCAATCAATTTCTAATCTGATAGTCTAAATCTCATCTTTGCTTGACTTGTTTGCATATCTAATCTATCATTGCATGAGTTGATAACAGCTAGTCTCCCAATTAACATTTTCTCCAGCAATAAAGAGTACGAAATTAAGAATCAGTTTTGTCAATGACAAATATTTTACTCAAAGAGGATGTAATTAATTACACAAACAAGATTTCAACATTGAATTTATATATGAAGAAAAGATTGTCACTCTTTCCCTTTAAATTTCATTCAATACTTGGGATATTCCTTTTACAGAAAAAAAAAAAAAAAAGAAGCAAAAGGAAACAGGCTGACCCATTTTCAAATTCTCAATGACAAATATTGTCCAGAAACAGTGATAAATAAATAAATAACTATTTATATATTTTATGTCGGTATATTATTTTGCACCCCCTCTATGATTAATCAAAACTATTCTTCGTCAAGTCCCATTGGTCGCGATCAATTCATCACATTCCATGAGTCATTTACTAGAGATCACGTGATCTTTACATTCATCCAAAAGTCAATATTAAGCAGAAATACTTGATTATTTGAGTGATGATTTTATAAAGCAACTCCCCTTGGAGGTTGATGTATATATAATGACATTAATTATTAGAAAGGATTGATGTATCCCCACACCAATAGTTTAGTGGGCCATAATTTCAGCCATTGGGTTTGAAGATCTTGAGACATGTTGCAAATCAAGATGCTGTGCATTGAGCTTTGAGATAGTACTTCCAAAATTTTGATAGAACTTGAGAGATATAATCATCATTATTGCCTACTGGAATTGGTGATTACATGAAGTTGAAGCTTAAGGATTAGCATTGATTGAAGTAAATATATATGTTTAGGATAGATAAATGTTAGTTTCAGCTTTACTTATTTAAGTAATTAAAAATCGAATGATTCTCCAACATATAGGGGGCCTATAGATGGTTCAAATCTTGGTATATTTGTCGAATCATGATACAAACCGTAGTTAACATGATTTTGTTTGCATTATCACATGTTAAGTAGTGTTGTCGAGGCTTGTTAATATTAGCTAGAACATATAGTATAACTGGTGTCTTGTTTTTGTGACAGAGGGTAAAGTTGAGGTAATAATGTGTTCGTATATGAAGAAACATGAGAAGATGACTAAAAATATTAATTTGGTTGGATAATTGGTGGTTCTTCAATAAATTTAGATGAATAAATCATCCATTACTTAACTGTTGCTATTCATTTGTAGGAGATAAAGTTTGCTATTTCTTGAATTTCCTCATGATATATACAAATGCAATTTGAAAGAGCTTAAAGATTCAAAAGTAAAGGTTTTATGCCAGCTAGCACAATTTTGGCCAAAATCCTATATCTACATGCTCTTCAGCCCATTCAATTCATGTGTAATACTACCTATATATAGATCTTATTGCATATATAGTTATATATAACAACGTGGAATAAGAACACCAACGAAAAATCAGCATTCTTAGCATGGAAGACAAAAAGAAAAAGCTAATAATATTGACGTATTGATGTAAGATTCCTTCTTCACCTCTCTAATTAATTATATATAGCCATGTCCTTGAAAAACTAACATCAAGATTAGTGTATATATATATAATTATGAATTTTTTTCCTGACCAAGATAGATATAGATGCTTTCACATTTCAAATCTTCTTTAAAGAAATAAATTCCTAAAAACACGTATGTTTTAAACTTTAATTCTCATTCCCAAGGGATGGTTGACATTGATCCCATTACTTTAATCCTTTTCTTAATCACACACACACACACACACATATATATATATATTTGATGAATTTAATTGCTACAGAAAACCAAATTGTCAGTCTTCTATTTCTATTCTCTGTGTCGGTAGGGCTGCTATATATATTTATTTTTAAAAACATTTTGAATCACAAACATGCAATTAATAAATAAAAACATATTCATTAAAAATGTATGTATAGTACATTGCTTTGCTCCCAATGCTGTCGGGAACCCTAGGTTAAAAACTTTTTTATTTTGGAATCATTTTGTTTGGTATATATTTTATTTGAAAGAAATCAATAATGAATTTCCTTGATCCAACGATCGATGAGGTGCCACTTGGGGTGGCAGTTTTGGTTCGAAGCAAGGTCCTTTTATTAATGCTGTTGTTAAACGAAATTAAATATGGTGGACTGATGGTGGTGGAGAGGGTCTATTCTCAACGGATAAGAATTTTAAGGTAGAAATTGTTTTTTCAATGGAGATCCCCCCATGGTATATCTTGTTGATCTCAAGGTAGGATTTATGGCTTGAGACAAGGAGATGCCTATTGCCATTGAAATTAGCAATGGTAAAGGACAACCCAATGCCTAAATGTTGCAACATTTTATATATATATATATATATATATATATAATTTCAATTTGTTTATATAAAATTGGCCCTTCTTTTTAGTGGTAGTGCCTGAATAGCATTATGCACTTAGGAACAGTTTGGACCCTTTCCAAACCCACCAAGATGTCTAAGACATTACTTAACCGAATTACCAATATACTTTGTTCCTCTTAAATTATATTATAGAAAAATATTAATCAGTGCCTAGCAACCGATGAGGTTAAGGTAATATTCAAGGAAAAAGATTTGAACCTACAAAAGTTTTAACTAATTCATGGAAATTGAAGTACAATCTCCCAAAACTTAACTCATTTACTTCTCATACTGTAAAGGAATCTGTAAACTCTATAGATTTAAGTTTGATAGACTCATGCTTGTCGTAGGATATGATAACAACATAATGCCATGAGTGAGATGTACTCAAATTGTTGAAGCAAAAAGGGTTTTGACAGTCTCATGAATGTGTTTGTTGCTGATTGAATGTTTTGACTGTCTGTTAAATGAATCCTGAATGGGGACCCAAAGTTTATGCAAGGAAAGGCCATGGATATTGGAGAGGATCCGATGACCCCAAAGAAGAGTCGCAAAACCAAAAAAAAAAAAAAAACAATGTTAAATGGCAAAGGTATCGTTTATCGATGCCCTCATAGCCCACACGGTGGGTTAACAAAAGTTCTAAAAAAGCTTTCCATCACCTGTCTATATGCTCAACAAATAATTGTCTCTAACTTTGTCATGAAAAGAGGACGAGATATTGAACTAAAATATTATAGCATCAGATTTCAATATAAATTTCTAGGATCAAGGTTTTGTCCATCAATTAATAATGAACAACAATAAAATCAAGGATTAATCCTTTAGTTTTTTTTTTTTTCTCTTAGCTAGGTTTTAAATTGGGCTAATATTGATGCAAGTAGTTCATAGGATATCCAATTTTGATATTAAATTCAATTGAAAATAAGGGTGCAGAGTCATCTTACATTTGAGAACCGGCCATATTCTACATGTCTCTATCACCCAACCCAAAAATTTTTCATAATCTTAATCTCCTCTACCTTCAAAATCTCTGCTTAATGACAGATGTTGGAGATGTTAGGTGTGCCATTCACTTGTGCACGAAGTCATAAGGTTTTGATGGTGTGATCTTTACCTCTAAATTATGGATTATATATATCACTTATCTTTAAATGTGTACAAGATTTACCCTTCATGTTTTCTTAGAAAATTTTTGGATTTAACAACATTTGCATTTACTCATATAAACCTGTCCCGACAATAAAAAGAAAAAAAAAAGAGGTATTGAATTTCATAGTGTTAGCTTAGCATCAACTAAGTTACGTCCCTCTTTGGCTTATCAAGTCATCTATTTACACATCCCAGGAAGATAAAAGAACTACTAAGGCGTTTATAAACACTAGAAAACCTAAAATAAAGGGGACAAATAATTAAATGACAATTAACTTACAAAAAAAATCATGATTATTTGGCTATATATATTTTAGAGATTAGGATTGTAGGGTTATACATAATTTTCAAGGGGCTAACTTTTGTGTGGATAATTTGGAAACATATGATTATTTTCCTTCTAAAAATATGTGTAACCTAAAAAAAATGGAGGAGTCCAACTTAAATATAAAATTACATAAAATTATATATTTATTATATGTGAAATAAAAAAAATTTGACTTTATTATCATGTTAATCATTCAATTTAAAATCAATTAATAATAAATAAAAGGGTCTAATTTGAATATAAGATATAATTTTCTTGTTACCATTTCTAAATTTATCATATAATATGTTTCTTCCATTTTCGTCTAACGTGATGAGAGTTATTTAAAATTATGTTATTTCATATCTAATAAATATATAATTTTTTATAATTTTATATTTAAATTAAATCTTTCTATTTACCACCAATAAATTTTAGGTTGAATGTTTAACAGTTATATAATTAAATTGATTAAAAGCTTGTAAGGAGTTAGGAGGCAATCATGTCCTTGAAATATATATATATCTCCAAAATAAACTGTTGTCTTTTGAAGATGATTTTATCCCATTTACTAACATTGGTGTATTAATGGTGATGTCCTCTTTTATGACGCACCACATGCGATGATATATTTATCCTTGGAGTCACCCTTCTCTATAAATATAAGACAGGATTTTTTTGTTGTTTTTTTTTTTTAATTTGTCATTAGGTAAATTTTTTTATTTTTATTTATACGTAATAAAAATTTATTAAAATAATATTATCTCATGATTAATAAATAACTAATTTTTTATAATTTTATATTCATCCTTCCATTTATTATTGATTGGTTTTAATTATGTCTTTAAAATATATATATATATATATATATATAAATCAAACTGTTGTCTTTTACCAACATAGGTGTATCGGAGATGTCCTCTTCTATGACTGGAGCATGACATGTGAAATGACATATTTACCATTGGAGTCACACTCTCTACATCGTACGGAAAGTAGTTAATTTGACTTTCCATCATCCCTTCTAATTGATGAGTACCATATACGTAAATATGACCACCCAAAATTATTATTATTATAATTATAGCTCCAAATTTCTCACGAGATTATTATTATTATTATATATAAGAAGGAAGAGAAAATGAAAGAGAGAAATTGGATTGTTGGGCCCAAAGTTGCCTATAGAAGAAAGTAGAATCGTGGGAGTTAGGGTTTCATTATGCCTAAATGTGTGGTTGGAATCAAGATAGTAAACACACGCTAGGATTTGGAGAAGATCGTATGTTTATATTAATGTTAGCAACTAATACTATTTGAATTAATTGAATACAAATAGTACTTTTTTTTTTTGAAACAATATAATTTTGATATCTTAATTAATTCTTTTTTTTTTTTGGTAATATAATTAAAATATTTTCGAGAGGGCAAGCCTTACAATAAGGGTAAGATTGCTCTTTTATAAACGGAAAGTCACGAATTCAAGTCTTAAAAACAATCTTTTTAAAGGAAGATTGTGTAGTACAAACTTTCATCCCAATCCTTATAAAACGAAAAATTTTGTGTATCGGAGTTTATCCTTTTTATAGTTAGAATATCCTCAAATTTTGCTTAACTCTAAAATTGTTTCGAATTGTTTTATGATTTTAATTAATATATTAGTACAAAAAATTTTTTTTAATGAATTTAGGAATTGCGAAAAGGAGGAGGAGCAGCAGCTAGGAAGGCAGGAGGGTTGAGTTTGAGTTTTAAAAGAAGAGAGCGTGGGGGGGTTAGAAAGGTAAGTATAGGTTGTTGAGTTGAAGGACAAAAGCAGACGTTAAAGTATTACTATGTATATAACACATAAAATCTTCTTTTTCTCCTCCAAAGAAAAGAGGGAGGAAAAAAGATAAAGAAAAGAGTAGTAGTAAAAAGGAATCAAAGTCCTTCAAACTTATTTACTTTTTTCCCTTCCTTTCCTTTCTCATCTCACCCTAAGTACCCTTACCCCCCCATGTCCACAAAAGAAAATACTACTACTGCCTGTCTCTCAAGTGTCATTTTCTCACATATACTTCACACAAAAGAAACAACCATTCACTTCATACCTTGTCATTTCTTCTCTTTCTCTCTCTCTTAATCTCCAATCTCTGCAACCACTTCCCCCTCCCTTCCAAACAATTGATCAAACCCCATCTGAAGAAAACCCCAGAAATTGTTTTACCTGAAATATATAAGGTAAAAACCCTTTGGCCTGGATCATCCAACCAACACACACCTCTCTTGTTCAACTTCATCATATTTATACAAGATAAAGACCTAATCCTTTCTTGGATATATACTTGTACCACCCAAAACACAGTAGGGAGGAGAGAAGAAGAATAAAAAAAGGAAGTGATCAGGAACATAAGCAGAGGGGCCTGAAAGTGATTGTCTGGGTGTTAAAGATGGAGCTATTCCCAGCACAACCAGATTTATCCTTGCAAATCAGCCCTCCAAACAGCAAACCCACTTCTACATGGAGGAGAACAGAAGAAGATTTGGGTTTCTGGAAGAGAGCTCTCGACTCAAGAAACTCCATGTCTTCAATGGCTAAACCTGATAACTGCTTCGAGCTCTCCTTGTCGAATCCAAGGGTTTCAGAGTCCAACTCCAACCATAACCTTCTCCAAAACGGTAGCGCCAATTGCAATGGTAATTTTTTCCACGCTTATCACCAAAACCAGTTCCCTCACCCTCACAACCAACTGCAACATCCGGTACTGTATCAACATTACCAGCAGCAACATCAAGGGCTAGGACAAGAGCTTGGTTTCTTGAGACCCATAAGGGGAATTCCCGTCTACCAAAACCCTCCTCCTCCTAATCCATTATCATTTGCTCAACAGGCTTTGGATTCATCTTTAGCTTCCTCTCCTCCTTTTTTGGCTAGTAACGGTACTAGTAACACAAGCTTGAGCCCCTTTCAGTCTCAAGGGTTGATGAGATCAAGGTTCATTTCAAGGTTTCCAGCTAAACGAAGCATGAGAGCTCCAAGGATGCGGTGGACAACTACACTTCATGCTCGCTTCGTTCATGCTGTTGAGCTATTAGGTGGTCATGAAAGTATGCTTCATTTCTCTTTCTCTTCTTCTTTCTTTTTTTTTTCTTTATCTACTATTCACTTTTTAGTCTTTTTCCTTCTTCTTTCACCATTGCTCCGTTTGATTTTAAGCATCTTTGGGAACAGGAAAAAAGAGGAAGGATATTATTGTTATGCTAAACAAAATTGACTTATATAACTATGATTTTCCTCTCTTAATATATTTATTCTCTATTCTTGTGGGGTTTTAGGAGCTACACCCAAGTCAGTTCTTGAGCTAATGGATGTCAAAGATCTTACCTTAGCACATGTTAAATCCCATCTACAGGTAAATAACTTTCTCATTCTTCTCTAATACAATCTCGACGGGTTTTTTCTAGCCTTTTCTACTTGCAAGGGTTTCCTCTAAATGGAATAAAAAATAAATATACTTTTGAAATGTTTACTTGAAGTTATCTGCAACTTTGGGTTTCTTTCTCCTTCTCTTACTTCCTCAAGCTAATAGTGCTAGCTTGATGCAGCGTTAACGGCGGTAGTAAGCTGAATTTGCATTTTTAAACAGCCTACATTACTGGAAGCTGTTAGATTACAAATTCCAATGTTTCCTTACAGAGGGTCTCTCCCAAATCCTCAGCACTTCTTTTTCTACCAGATCTGATGGTTCTGCAAGCTAATGAACAGCTTTTTGCTTTGAAGAATGAACCAGCCCGTGTAGAAGAAAAAATTCAATTAAAAAGAAAGAGAAAAAGTAGTAAACATTATCGATTTAAAAAAAAAGTAAGACGAAGCCCATGGAATTAAAAAAAAAAAAGTCATAGCCAAGACGAGACAAGTTTCTCACTCAGTTCGATTATTTCTTTTCTTAAAAAACAATTTTCTCTTACATTGGGAGAGAGAGAGAAAAAGAAACAAATATAACCAAGTACAAAAACACTATCATTTCTCAATGATATCTTCCTCAGATGGGTTTCTTTTAACCTCCCTCCTTTAACCATGGTTAAACTCTCCATATTTTACTGCTCCTCAATTCCCATATATGCATAAAATGCTTTCATCTCCTTTTCTTTTTTTTACAGTTCGTACTTGCATGCACTGTAGATTACACCTGGTGTATGGTACAGAGAACAGTTTATTATTGGTCTACTTTCTGATTTTTACTTTTTTTGTCCATCTTTTAGCTACCCAAAGGCCTGAAATTGAGGCTAATTAATTTTGTTTATGTTACTCGTCGACAAGTCATCTTCTTCCTTCTTTTTTTTTTTTTTTTATAAATTTGCTTGCAGATGTATCGAACGGTGAAGACAACAGACAGAGCAGCTGCATCTTCAGGTATATAGTAACATTTCTTCATCATGTTGAATTTTATGTAAGTATATATGATGTTGCTTAAATTTGTGTTTAACACAAACTTAATTGTTTAATTAAGCAGGACAATCGGATGCATTTGAAAATGGATCATCTGGGGATACTTCTGAAGATTTGATGTTTGACATTCAAAACCCAAGAAGATCAGAGATATCAGTTCAACAAGGAAGATCATCATCATCAAATGCTCATCAAGACAAGGAGTACCATGGCCTCTGGAGCAATTCATCAAGGTTAGTCTGCTGTGTACTAGTCTACTCTTCTACCACCACCACCACCACCACCACCACCACCACCACCACCACCACCACTACTACTACTACTACTACTTTGGCTTGCCTATCGGTTTGTCTGTCCTTTCTGTTTCATTTGTTTCCTTCGTATATATTCCACTGTTTGATTACTCAGAAATTTTCTTTCTTTTTTTTTTTTTTCTAAAAAGCAAATAAATGATACTCGGATCGATGTCACAACAACCACATATACCTAATGTAGTACGATCCTTAGTTTTGTTTTGATTTGTCTTTGCTGCTGCATTCATACATGCAATCGTCAGCATGGTCGGAATACGGAAGAAAATATACAGTTTTACTCTAAAACAAGAATTTTAATAGAGTAATTTCTTTTTGTTGTTTTGCTTTGAAAATTCCTAGAAAGACGTCAGCCCGTGTCTTTGACAAGAACAGTTAACAGTTTATCTCTTATATAGACGTAGTTTCATTGTATCCTTTGCTTCTTGACGGTGATAAGAATGTATCAAAATTAAAATTAAAAGATCCCATTTCCATCTCTCTTTCTCTAGCTTATTCGTGTAAGCTTAATTTCTCTCTCAACCATCACATGCAAATACAAACATAGTTACATGCAAGATATCACAAAAAGAGGCTGGGAGAAGTGATTTCGGTGCTACGTTCTGTCTGTCGAGCGTGGACGACTAGAAACGCTGGAAACTCCATGATGGAGTAGTTATAATAAGTATCTCAAATTGGGATGGCGCATGGGAGAGGTAAAAAGGAAGTAAAAAAGAAAGCATCGACTCCCCATATCATTCCAAGACTTGAGAGAATCCCAAATGACAAATCCAACTAAAAATTGGAGATATCTCTTTCCTTTGGATTTTGTGGGCTCAGACATAGGGCTGATAAAATTGGGCATACAAATGGAAAACTTAGTGTCAAGGCTAAACTCTGTGATGGCCCCATTGGTGGAAATTTTGGTATTAAAGCTATGCCCTTTGAACCTTCTTTGCTGTGGTCTGTTGTTATGGGTAATGGGCAATCACATGGGGGGTAGGTTTCACTTTATTTCAATCAGCATGAAATGTGAAGTTTGAGCAACTATAAACAAGACAGTAAAGACAGCTTTCTATTCTCAGTTTGCTTTTTCTTCTGCATGGCTTCCACTGATAGCAAATATTCTCTCATTGTGTTGGATTCTAACAGGGAAGCTTGGCTGCATGGGAAACCTAAGGATTCTGCTGGAAACTTATCATCTCTCCAGGTACTAATTTCAAACCATTTGTTTCCCAAAATAACCTTCAGTTTCAAACTTTCGTCCAACATTGTGGTGCTAATAATATATATATAGAATGAACCAAATATAAAGGTATAGAACTTTTTTGCTCTTTTTTCTTCATCTAGCCATGCACATTTCAAATTCCATCCTTTCCTGGTATGATTTTTGAAATGTTGAACCTATGTTTTCCAATATCCAGATGTTTAATTGTAGATAGGCTAAAAGAAACAGTAAGCTAAACCCCGAATTACTGTGGTTTTTTCATTACTGATTCACAACCTCAAATTCGTGGACTGTTTGGTCATTTTGGCAGGAAAAGAAAAGGGTGTGTTTTTTATGACGTTTGTAAGCTTTTTTTAGCTCTTTAAAGAACCCTCCCTCAAGCCTTCATCATTAAATTTACTGCACTTGTGTTACATGTCCAAACCTAATCCCTTGACCTATCAAGCTCATCGGTTTGACCTTGAAAATGCATGGTTGGAGTAGATCACTAACTTAGTAAGTAGGGTCAAATGATGAAATAATGCAGCAGAAGAGTGATAATGTAATGGCTAAAGAGTAAAGAATAAAAATGGAGAATAGTCTTGGGAGTAGCACAAAGGAGAGGGGACTATAGCAGGCTTTCAAAATAATGTACTCCAGCTCTAGCAATGTTTCTTTTCCTTTTTTTTTCTAAACATAAATATTCTATTATTCCCTGAGTCAAATTATCCTTTGATTCCCCATAGCCACAGTTCCTCATACAATTCACTTCCCTTGGGCACCTAGCAATATATTGCTTTCCCTTTATTTTCTTTTAATGGTTTTCTTTTCTCAATTTTTTTTTGGTCTGCAGAAAGATATGGATCCAAAGTGCTTAAGCTATGACAGAAAATCAGATGTAAGCTCATCAAGCCTTTCTGGGACAAGCCCGAAGAAGCCTAATTTGGAGTTCACCTTGGCAGTATTGCCACATTGATATAAAAAATTATATAAATATTTTATATCTTTGTGTGTCTACTACTCATTTTAAAACGATCATATCTTCTGAAGAGATGGTGATGGGGGGAGCTGGTGAAGAGAATCAGGTACCCATTCAGAAAAAAAAAAAAGAGAAAAAAAGGGGAAAAAAAAGGAGAAAGAAAGAAAACAAAAGGAAAAGAAAAGAAAAAGAGAGCATAAAGAAAGGCAAGGAGACAAGAAAGACAGAAAGCAACAAAAGGAGAAGGGTGTGGAAACAAAAGCACATCCTTCCTATCAATCTGTGAGAGATCCAAATCAACATATTATATTCCTACGTAAATATGAAATCTAATTGATTTTCTATGTTTTGCACTTAGAGAACAAAGAGAGAGAAGAAAAAGAAAAGAGATAGAGTGACCTTTAACTATCTTAAAGCATGAAGTGATCCTTGGTAATTGTAATGGAGAGCTTTACATTTTATAAAATATCTTTACCAAAGGGTGAGTTTGGGGTTTCTTCTGATCTCTATTTTCTTTCATAGCCATTGTCACATGCTTGATGCTTTACACTTTGTGAACCAAAAAAACATACTAAAAAGGCTTTGAAGAATATGAGCAAGGAAATAAAGGTATAATTGGGTAAAATACAAAAAGAAAGAGGAAATTGAAAAGCCTAAGCTTTCAATTCCCTTTCTCAAAAAATCACATATCATCAAAGTTTATAAAAAGGTCTACTTAAAAGCAAAAGGCAAAAAAAATAAATAAAGAAATAAAGAAATCCCTTTATTCATTCTTCAATTTGTTCTTTTGGTTCCTATGACATGGGTGAGTAACCCTTGTTTTTCGAAAAATTTCATTGAAAATTTCTATCACAAAACACATCAAATTTATTAATTTAAAATTTGAAAGTGCTAGTCATGAGGGATTATCCCTATATATAAATTATTTTTTCACCCTAGGTTTAATAAAATATCTTTCTTTCCCATAGGAGTTAACCATTGCAATATGAGCAAGATGATATCGTCTCATATATACATATCAATTTGAAGAAAAGAAAATTACTGATATTGGTTTTGTGATTTTTAGAGAGAATTTAATTCACAAATTAATTTTTTCTGAATTAGGGTTCCTTTACATGTATATATTGAAGGATTGTTAAGCAGCTTAGGAATCTAAAAGCCGAAAATGTTGAAATCAACAGGGTGTGAAGAACCCCACAGCAGTCCTTTAAACACAAAAATCAAACAGAATGAATGGAAAAGAGCCAAGAAAAAAGTATATGTAGAGAAGGATAGGGAATTAAGACAAGAACAGTTAGTCTTTCTGTACAGAAAGATTCCTACTAAAACTTTGTTCTCTAGTCAGATGTCTCCTTCTATAAGCGCAAAATTTTATACCTTTGGCTTATGCATATATATATATATATTATTAGGCTGAATAATATTCAATTTGTGAAGAAAACCTCATGTTCTAATGTTAGCTTTATCAAGTTATGATTACCAGGTATAGCAGAAAATGGGTCCAAATATTTGTTGTTTAGTCACAATCGTAGATCAAGGACCGCAACTTCGAAGTGTCGAAAAGACTAAAGTACCCGTAGGATATATTAGGTAAGATATGATGAAAAAGCATTCTTTGTCAAGCTAATTTTGTGGTGAGCAATTAAGGAGTTTTATGTCAGCTTGTAATGTGTTTTTCTCTTGGGGAAAAAACAAAACTGATGCGCCCTCCATACCAATTGGTCTACAAATGTTACTAGTAATCTTCAATCCCCTCCAAATTTTGCTAATCCTAAAACAAGTAAAACCCTGCAAGACTAGCAGCTTAAGATATATATATATATATATATATATATATATATATGTGTGTGTGTATGTATATATGTGCATGCAAAGTGACATCACTTGGAAAACCATGATGGAAACTTTTGCTAAGTTACATCAACATTTTCATGAGAGAAACATGTATATGTATGATGTAGACATTTATCTGTGTTCGAAGTTAATTAAGATTGATCTTTGTTTTTATATTATTATTTGCTATTATTACTAGTATTCCTATGACATAGTATAGCGTATTATTATTTTATTACTATTATATTATATTTATAGTATACTATGTTGTTATTATTATTATTATTATTATTATTGTCGTTGTTGTTGTTGTTATATTTATTATCATCATCATCATCATCATTATTATTATTATCATCATTCTTATTTTTTATTTTGTTTTATTTTTCTTCCTTTTCTTCTTCAATCGGCGGCAATCAATTTGGAAATTGAAACTGAATCAAAATATGTGCATGGTTAAAATTTTTAATATGAAATTAACTTGGAGTAACTATTAAAATCAATTGGAATCAAATCAGAAACCTAAAATTACATTCGGGCATAACCTAATCCCAGGATTCAATCCTAGATTGGTTTTGTCCCCTTCCTAAAGATTCTCCTAAGGACTGCCTATAAATTGGATAAGGTTATAGAGAATAGGACATGGTCGATTTTGGTGAGAAATTTGTGTTTAGAGTTCTGGAGAATTTTTTCTTGGGTACTGATTTTCTAAAATTTTGGTTTTTAAGGTTTTTGGATTCGAAATTCTGGTTTGGGTTTTTAGTTTTTGATTTGGAATGACGAGGCTTGAGGTTTCAAATTTTTGGGAAAAGTTTAAAGATTTGAAAAAAATCTGAAAAATTTGAAAATTTTTGGGTTTTTCTCGAAAAATTGGGTTGAAGATTTAAATGTTTGAAATTTTCATTTGAATTTTTTAACAAAATTTTGAAGTTTTCAATGGGATTTTGTTGATTTTTTTAGAAATTGGAGAACTTTTTCAATTTTCAACAATGTTCTTGAGAAATTTTAGAAAGAAGCCAGAGAGAATCGAGGTCTAGAGAAATAACAAACACTTTTTGACGAGAAAAACTGAAAGTTACCTTTTATATTGCCCCAACACGATTTTTCTAAGGATTCCAGATTTACGTGTAGACCTACTAACCTGCGTGCTAACCCACACTCCAACCCGATCCGATCACAGATTTTTTTTTTATTTTATTTTATTTTATTTTTATTTTATTTTCATATTTTACCTATTTCATTATTTATTTATTTTCTTTAAGTAATTTATTATTTGTTAAACATTTTGTAAAAATAAAAATTTTTTATTTATCCTAAAAAAATAACAAAAAAAAAATAAAATCTTTTTAAATAAATTCATAGATCCTACCAAACTATTAGAGAATTTTTATGGATTTAAATTTTATGGAATCCATCAAACTATTGAAAAATTTCATAAATCAATTTTTAAAAAGAAATATTTTTATCCCATCAAACTATTGGAGGATTATTTCTCTAGACACCCCAATCTATCTGTGGGTCTACATTTGATTTTTGTTAATATAAAAAATAAAAAAAAAATAAAAAGCTGAAAAAATGAAAAAAATAAGAAGTTGAGGTTGATTGGGATTATGTGGTTGAATTTGAGCTAAGTTGGAATTTTTGTTTTGATTAGGGCTTTGATCTTATAAATATTCACACAAACAACACAGAAAACATATGGGGGGAAACACAAGAAAAAAATAGAGAAAACAGAAAGCAGAGGTAGGTAAAAAGTATTTAGAAAGGCTATGGGAATCCTAGAATTTTTAGGATTTTTTTTTTGAATTTTTGACCATTTTTTCTTTTGAAAATTTTTTGAAAAATTTTCAAATTTAGACGAAATTTTTTGGTGTCGGTTGAATTTTTCGATAAGTTTTTTCGACGCCAATTGAAATTTTTAGTAGACTTTCCAAATTTTAATTAGCTTTCCAATTTTTAGTAATTACTTTCAAAAAATCGATGAACTTTTCAGCGAATTTTAGACAAACAACCCAGATTCTGGCAAGGATTTTCAGAATCTGGTTAAATTCAACCGGTGTTCTTAGTGGGGATAGAGAGAGAAAAAAAGAAGTAGAGAGAGAATGAACAGATGAATTTTGATGAAAATAGGCTGAAATTTAGGCTTTTATAGCCTCTTCAAAATGATGTCGTTTTGACATTTAAAAAAGTCCAAGATCTACGCGTTTTCACCCAGGGTGACCTAACTTGTAGCATGACCCACTTCAACCCACTCCGCAGACCTTGCTACTGAGTTGAGCCGATTTCTCCTCGAGCCGAGCCGAGCCGAGCCTTCGAGCCATTTTCTGTGTTTGGAGTCGAGCCTCATTAACTCTCCAATCTAGTCGTTTCGAATTTTTTTTTGTATTTTTTATTTTTTTATTTATGTGATTGTTTATTTTTAAGAGTATTTTTGCATGAATAAATTTTAAAAATAATATAAAATAAAACTTTCAAAAAATATATTTTTAAGAAAAAGTTGAAAGTATCAATTTTTCTTGAAAATAAAATTTTTTAAAAAATACCTTTTTAAAGAAAAGTTGAAAGTATCAATTTTTCTTAAAAATAAAATTTTTTTAAAAAGACATTTTTAAAGAAAAGTTGAAAGTATCAATTTTTCTTAAAAATAAAATTTTTTTAAAAAAATATTTTTAAGGAAAAGTTGAAAGCATTAATTTTCTTTGAAAATAAAATTTTTTAAAAATATTTTTAAGAAAAAATTGAAAGTATCAATTTTTCTTGAAAATAAAATTTAATATATATATATTTTTTAAGGAAAGGTTGAAAGTATCAATTTTTTTTGAAAATAAAATGTTAAAGAAAAAGCATTTTTGAGAAAAAGTTGAAAGTATCAATTTTCTTATATAAAAGCATAAATTTTCATAAAACAAAAAAGAGATTTATATCAAAAGTCAAATCATCATTCTTTTTTTTTCATCATTTTTTTTTCTTGGATTTTTTTATATTAAATAATTCGACGATAGAACATCTACAAGAAAAGCAATAGTTTTATTGTATACTTTTGATGTGAAATTTTTTTTTAATTTTTTGTCAAAAGTATTGAAGTCAATTAAGAATAATTTTTAATAATTAATTACTTGATAAAATTTTTAAAGCTTAATGGATAACACGAAATTGAGCTGGTCCTATCTTTCGATGGGTGTTGTGAGGGTGCTATAATCTTTCTCACACGTAATCATACTTTCGGACCTAGTTCTGATTTCACAGACATTGAATCTACCTTTTAAAAATACCTAAGCTAAACTTAGAATTTTTCTTAAAAAATGGACAGATTCGGTTAGGTGACCAATCGCACCTAAATAAAAAAGATCAGTGATGACTCCTCAATGTAATATCTAGCGATAGATCCCCGAATCTATATATTATGACAGTTTCTTAAATTAAGTCCTACCAAACTATTGAGAGATTTAATGAATCTTTTTTCTAAAACAGTAAAATAAAATTTTATAAATACTTTTATAACAAAATCTCACTAAACTATTGAAAGATTTACCTCAAAATAAGTCTTATCAAATTTTTTTGAATAAAATACTATAACAAATCAGATGACGAAACCTTTTAAGAGTGGGACACTAATTTTCATGAATACTCTTGAGGTGAGAGAATTATCTTAAATTACTACC